TTTTGATAGCCGGGCACCATCAGCTTTCTTCACCACATTTGCTTATGCACCCATTTGTCTTCAGTGATCCGTTCGACACCCCGTGACCACACAGGCTGATATGTTGTTCCATGTGGGCTTTGTTGCTTCTGAGCTAGATGGCCGCTTGTTTATCTTTCATGCCTATGTCAACACAGATTTCTAGAATCTTTTCTTGAATGATCTTCTGCTGCAACTTTCATATCTATCTTTAGGGCCAGATCCATTCCTCATGGTCCTGGCACTCCACGTACACACACTCACTTTGTTGAACCATTCCAAGTCCCAATTGATGCATTCATCTTTGCCAGTATCTTGGCAAATAGGACACCCTTACTGCTTTCTTTCTCACCACTTTGGCCTTCACATTTGCCATGAATCGCATTATTTTACAGAGCTTGTTTTCTTGTTGAACCATTGTATAAAATCTACTAATGTTACTGGGAGCTGATGCATAATGACTCTTTTCTCCTTTCTCTCTGCATCCTTCCACTACCTACAAGAAACATGCTCAGAGATGTCGGGGGGGACCACCTGTTCCATCAACCCTCTTTGATGGCCTGCTCTCTTCGTCACAAAATACTCTTTTCTGAGCATCAGAGAGCACTTCACATGCTTGAGATATCGGTTTAAACTTCTCGCCTCATTTGGTTTCTTTTCAGGGTGGCACACTTCAGGGACAGTTTCCTGCAAGCTTTTTTCAACTCTTCCTGAGTGGCACCCTTATGACCCCAAAACATCATAATTAAGTAGGTTCTTTCACTATTTTCTACAGCTGTTAAGTTGGTCAAGGCTGGCGTGGGAGAAGGAGCCAGTTCCTGTAGCCACCTCTCCTCTGCCTCTTACAGTTCTATGTAAAATTCCCCCTTCCTGGGCAACTCTCATTAGGCACCAGGGACACTCTTCCACGGAGAGAACAGTGGTGGTGAGGCTTCCTGATGAAAATTGGAAGTTGGTCTGATGAGGGATCTTTGTGTAGTGTTGTGGTATGTCTGAACTTGAAAACATGAATACACAAAAATTTAATTGTTCCTTGGAGCAAAGATGGGGTATTTGAAAAAGGGACTTGCCCTAATCCCAGGACACATCACCCACATTTTAGCTTATCCCGTTTTTAACCCGCCACCTTCCTGGCAGGTTGGGTTTGAGAATACAAATACCATATAAGCGATTGCTGGGCTACATGTTGCTGCTTGGAAAAGTTTAGCACCAGCATCAGGAGAGTAGGCTGGCTGTCTGTTCTTTGAATTCTACAGCAAGCCTGGACATGTTAAAGTTACACCGCTCCTTGCCCTCAAGTTTATCAGGGTAGAACTGGCCTTGCGAGTTTTCAAGACTAATTCTTTACAACAGTTGAAAGCCTCATCTCTGGTTTCAAACAGTTGACCCTGTGGTTAGGAAGTCCAATTTTGTAACCCACTCTCTTCGCCCTCGAAGTGCCCCTGAGGCCCCAGAAAATAATTCCATTTTCATAAATCAGAGCAAGGCAAGAAACTCCTGGCAGAATAGTAGTATCTCATAGTATATCGCTCCCTTTAAAATCAACTAGAGACAACAGGGTAGTAAAAACGGGGAGAAGATAGTAGCGTCCCCATGAAAATGAGCAAGATCATGGAGACCAAGCCACAACCCCTCCTTGGTGTGGGGAAAGTTGGTGAGGGAGGGAGCAGGCGGCCCTACGTAGATGCTATCTTCCCAATGACTCAGCTGCATCTGTGCATCGAGTTTCTGCCGTGCAGGGGGCCTCTGGCCTCCTCCTCATCTTTTCTCCAACACTATCAGATGTTTGGAGCGAGGGGGCCTGTCAGCATGAGCTCCCTGACTGAAGACCCCTGAGCAGGTCTTCTATGTGTGAGGTGCTTCCTGCCACCGCAGCAGCTGGAGAAGCAGGGGGATGAAGGGACATTCCTTTGTACTGAATGTGAAGATGGTGGACACTTCCAGGTGCTTCGTTATCACGCAGAAGCCAGTGGGGTTTCCAGGGCAGGGCTACCTCCTCTCATCCCTTTCTCCTCTCCTTCCTGGCCACTCCTTAGGGGAAAGGCAGCTCCTCAGCAGGTAGACGTTAAAGCCCCTCAGGGCAACATTGAACATTTCTGGAACCTCATTCTTAGAATACTTTATGATGCGGACATAGCGTCACTACAGAAAAAATGCTCAAATTTGCTTTTTTCTCTATAAGCAGAAAACATATCTGTGGATAGTCCTGAGATATTCATGTTGTTCAGAGAAGGTTCCTAGATGTGAACCCCAATGTTTCTATTACTTATACTGTCACAAGCAGCAGTTTAAAGAGCTTATTGGAAGTTACTAATTAACTTCTTTGCTTGTACACCAGGCTTCCTATGCAAGCAACTATTTCCAGGTAAGATGAGGGACACACAGGTGTAACTCTTTTATCTCACCAGCAGGCGGCTCCCTTGACCATGTAGCTTTCCGGTCACACTGAAACCACCAACATGCTGAAAGACTTAGTTGACTCTTGCAGACAAGCTCCAAAAGCAGGGTGAGGCATGTAATGAAATGCTTCTGCAGAACTGAAACAGCAGCTAAATTCATAGGGCACTGAGAGAGCTGGGTTTTGTGTCAACGTGGCTGGGACGGGATTCGCTGTCGCTTGGCAGTGGAGTTCTCACCCATGATGTTAGCTCATGTAAACAACTCCATGGTGGGATCTGCTGTGAGCAGCCAGGCAGTTGTGGGAAGAATAGGATGGAGTGCTAGCCTCTTAATCAGGGTACAGCCCTGATATAATCAAAGGAGGTTTCCTCAGCGGGGTGGCCTAGCTATTTAAGCAGACGGTGAGGAGGCTTCTCTTCTTAGTGGCTGGATCCTACATTTGGCTCACTGAACCTCTGGGCTTGGGGACTTGGGCCAACTGCCAGACATTGGGAGCCATTGGGGTATGACCTCTGGCTGCTGACGTTGGGTTCATCTGGCCCTACATCCAATGTGGGTTACACATTGGGCTTCTAACAGAAAGGTCAGCAGTTTAAAGCTGTTAGTAGTCTCAGAAACCTACAGGGCAGCCACCTTGTCCCTTAGGGCTGCTGAGTCAAAATGGATTCGATGGCAGTGAGTTACCTTCACTAGCTGTGATCCTCCTGCTTCTGGATTCATCTTCCTGCTTCCTGGTGTGTCAGCCACAGCAGCTCCAGGTCAGCACTAACCTCTAGCTTAAAATCTGATCCACAAATTTGAACCAGGCTAGACTTAGAGCTTCTACTTCGGTGTGACAAGTTCTCAAATCCATTCATCTACTCACCAACCAATCAGCCACCTACAGGATGATGTTAGGTGCCATGGAATCAGTTCTGACCCACAGCGACCCGATGCACAACAGAACAAAAACACTGCCTGGGCCTGCGTCATCCACACAATTTTTCTTATGCCTGAGTCCACTGTTTCAGCCACTTTGTCAACCCATTTCGATGAGGACCTTCCATGGGATAGACCCTAAGAAACCCCCTAGGTCCCAGTTCAAGGCAGCCAACAACGTAATGTAAGATATTCCTGAATCAGACTCACAGGCCACACCCTGCTAGTGAGGCTAACGAGAAAGGGTTTCATTTAAGATGGCACTCCGAGTGCAGGCACAGCTGGCCTGGCAGCGGTGTTGGATGAGCCCGGGTTTCCACTACTACACTCACCTCTGATTGTGCCTTCGCTTCCTGAATGACAGTGAGGACGGGCGACTTTGACCCCACCGACGACAAGACTGACTGTAACTTTTGCTGGTCCCCCACTGAGGCGAGAAGTTGAGCCAAGCTAGATATAAACACATTGGAAGAACATTAAGGGAAAGAGCAATTTCTCCATTTATAAGAATGTATTGAAACAGAAATGTATGATATGTGAATATGTCAAGAAAACCACAAAACAAAACACCCAAACTTAAAACGAAAAACCTAACTCTCTTCTTTCTGCTACGTTGCCAGTGTTTTCTGATTTTCATGTTTATTTTGGTCTTAACTCCCATGCCAAACTACTTGGAACCCAGTACACTAAACAGGAATTCCATTCACTGTCAACAGCAGTGGCTCCAAGGATTCCCTGAAGATGTTACGCAACCAATGTTAAGAGTTACCAAAATAGTCACCATACAGACTTGCAAAATCCTTCATTATCAGGAATTTCCTGTCTTGACTGAAGTCCCTTCCAAAGACTCAGGCTCCCCCTCCTCCCGCCCCCCATCCCAGGGACAGCGCTCCCTATACTCCCAGACCCCTGGAGTCGTCTTAGCGCCTCATTCTGGCCCACACACTTCTTTCTCCAGAATTGATCTTAATGTCAAACGAACTAAAACCAAAACTCACTGTCATCCAGAACTACCCCCAATGGGTTTCCAAGGCTAACTCTTTCTGGAAATACAAAAGCCTAATTTTTGTCCGGTGCTGGTGGTTTTGAACTGCTAACCTTGTGGTTAGGAACCCAGCACTAACCACTACACCACAGGGCTCCTTGATATTCAAGACGAGATCAGATGCTGTGGGATTCTGGATTGTTCCTGAACTAGAAAAAAGGGGTACTGGGGGGGGGGGACCTGGATGGAATCTGAAAGACTTGTCATTTCTGGTTCAGATGTCCATTTCTGACTTTTGACAAAAGGTTGGTGGGTGAGGTAAGATGCTCACACCAAGGGAAGCCGAGGACTACTCAAGACCTCTCCTCCTGTCTGGGCAACTTTGTGGCAATCGTAGAACTATTAAACAACAACAACAAAGGCTTATTTAAATAAAAATACGGACACTTACTTGACTGACCAGCTTTTTCCTGAGGGCGAGTCCTGGGTGGTGTGGCCCGGGTCCCCCGGTGCGCTAGCTGTAGGATTGTTGCTCCCAGCCGCTGCTCCCAGAGACCTCCGGGGCACGATCTCCAGCTCCGTCTTGAAGATCACAGCGGGGGGCTCACCCGAAAAGTCCTCAACGCCCCCGCCGCAGAGCTTGTCCAGGTCCGGCATGCTCAGGGCGCGCAGCTCCTGCAGCGTCGAGTGGGACAGGGGCGGGGGCTGCCCGTGGCGCACCGAGGGCTTGTTCCTCTTGCCGGGCGAGGCGGGGGTCACGGTGGGGGTGGGGATCCCGGAAGGGCCTGGCGGCGTCTTCAGGTGCGGCTCGGCCTCCAGCGGGCTCTTCCGGGGCGCGACCAGGGTGGTGCTGGACGGGGACTTGGTCATGGGAGGGCCGAGGGGGCCGGCTTCGCTCGGGCTTTCGCTGCAGGAGCTCAGGCTGCGTCGCAGCGACCTGGTCGCCTCCCCGGGGTGGCCCAGGCTCCCCGAAGGGATGCTGCCCGAGGAGCGTCTCCCCACGGGGGGCTTGGCGCTCACGGCCAGGGCGGGGAAAGCGCCGGCCTTGGCGGTGGGCCGGTCAGCGTTGGCCAGGTTCTCGAAAGACTTGATCCTCTGCTTGACGGAGAAGAAGGAGGTAGATTCGTGGGGCCAGTGCTGCTCGTAGTAGTAGGGTCTCCTGGTGACCCGGATTTTGTCTGTGGCCGGGCAGCTCGCCTCCGGGCTGGGGTCCCCTCGGTCTGCTGCCGCCAGGGGTTCCGACAGCTCCAGCAGGGGCTTCCCGCAGGACAGGCTCGGCCCGTTCACCAGGCCCACCGCACCACCAGGGCCAGGTCCGTCCCGTCCAAAGTGGCTGGAGAACTGGGCTGGCATGGAGTAGGTCCTGGTTGCGGGCCGCGGCGTGAAGTAAGGGGGCTCCTCGGCTGCGGGGCCCGTGGGGGCGACATCCTTGGGTGGGCCTTGGAGCTCCGTGGCCCGGCTGGTTTTCCCCGCGGGGGAATCCATCTGTCCGGCCGGCGGCTCAGAGGCGGCGGCCGCAGCTGGCTTGGCCATGCAGCAAGCACGCTGCGCGTCCTGTGCCACGTGAGACGCCGGAAGCGTGAGGGAGGGCGTCCGAGGCAGGGGAAGGAATCCGGCCTCGCCCTTTTCCTGAGAGTCACTCTCCGCGGGCTTCTCTGCCTTGGCCGTTCTCTCAGAGGGCTCCTCCCCGGTGCCCAGCTGCCTCCTTCCTCCAGGGGCATCGACTGGACCATCTAGCCGGCTCCCGTTTTCGCCCGCCACCGCGGGCGGGGCCACTTCCGACACGCAATCACGCGGAGCGGAAGGCTCTTCCGGCCCGCGAGCCTCGGGGTCCTGCTGGGGGCGGGGCGCGGAGGGATTCCCTGGTCCCGAAACGGCAAGGTGCACCACGCTCTCTGCCGCACACCCACGGCCCTTGGGGACGGCTGCTTCCGCGCGGACCGTCCTGGGGGAGGTCAAGGGCGAGAAGCAAGTCCCGACGCTCGTGTCCAACGCCTGGGCCTCGAGGGGCAGCGCGCTCTCCAGCCGGCTCCTGGGAGCTTTGGGGGTGGCTGCGGCCCACCGGCCGGGCTCCTCCTGGGAGCCTGCCCTAGGAAGCCCCTTCTGGGAGGCCGGGGGTGAGGGCAGGGGCTTGCGGGCGTCCACCCCAGCAGCCTTGGTCGCGTTAGCGGCCGGGGCCTCGCCGCCGCCCACTCGGCTTTTGCCCTTTATGCTGAACCTCTTGAGCTTCGGGCCCGATCGGGGTCTCAGGCAGTTACTCACAGGCGCGTCCCCGGGACCTTTTTTCGGGGGGTCTTTGTCCTCTGGGTCCCTTTTCAGCTGCGGGGGGCTGCTAGGCCCAGGGGCTCCCTTTCTGTGGCTCAAGCTCACAGTCCGAGCTTTGGAGTCGGGGCTCCGGGTTGGCCCTGCGGACGCTTCCTTCTCGGGCCTGCTCTGCACGTGGGATCCTTGGCCGTTTCTATTGATTTCTTTAAACCAGGCCATGATGGGCTTCCTGGAGGTCACTTTGGGTTTCTGACGGGCGTCCCCCGGCGCCGGGCCCTCGGAGATGTGCAGGATTGCCACGGCGGAGGGCACGTCCTCAGGGACTTCCGGGCCTTCGCTGGCGTGCACGGCTGCCCCCCGTTCTTTCTCGGGGCTCGCCTCATCCGGGAAGTCATAGTCCGAGCCGTTCGCCACGCTCGGAGGGCAGTGTGTGTTCTGGGGGTCGTGCAAAGGACCCGAGGCCCCCGAGGACGGGCTACTTTCCGTGGCGGAGCCAGGGCCGTCCAAGGTGGAGGCCCCTTCCGCCCGCGAAGGCCCGTGGCGCCGAGCCGTGCCGGCGTCCCCCTGCGGATCCTGCGCCCGAGCGCGGGCCTCCAGCGGTGGGGATGGCTCCGGCGGTGGTGCGGAAATGCGGGCCGCCCCGGGCACCAGGGACGCTCGTTGGCGCGGGCTGCCCACCGACTCGCTCAGCGCGCTGTGCTGGAGCGGCAGAACCCGCGCGAGGGCGGGGTGCGGGGCCGCGTGCGCGTGCGCAGTGGCTGAGGGCGGCGGGGAGCAGCCATGGGCGGAGCAGAGTTCGATCGGTTCCTCCTCGGATTCCGTCGCAGCCCCCGGGGGAGAGGCCCGCGGAGAACGAGGGGGCGCTCGGGGTGCGTCCGTGAGCGACTCGGGGTCTGAGGACGAATCGTCAGCATCGCCGTACATGGAGGAGCGGGCCGGCTGGCCCCCGTCCGGGCGAGGCGCGGCCTGGCAGTCTTCGTGAAAACCGCTCAAGTTTCGAGAGTAGTTCGTCAGACAGCTTTTGTTCACCGTAAAATGTCGGTCGGGACTGATGGAATCCCAGACCGAAGGCTGCGGGGCCCACTGGGGGCCGGGCGGTGCGTCAGCGGCCCGCAGCTGCCCGGCCGAGGGGGTTCCTGGGGCCTGGCAGGAGCTTCCGCCCTTGACCTTTGCTGGGGGTTGACCTGGACACCCGTCCTCTGGATGCCCGGCCCCATTCACCCCCGACTCGCCGGTCACAGGGCTCGCTCTGCTCCGCGCAGGGCAGCAGTGCCCGGGGCCGCTGCCACACACCTCGCCACGCTCGTCCTCCGTGGGCGACGCCGTGGGCCGTGGCGCCCTCTCCGACGCAGAAGCGCTGCCCTGGAGCCGAGCCTGCTCGCCCGAGCCTTCAGGACGGCGGGTTCCGGTCATCTCCGAAGCCGGGCTGTGCTGACCTTGGGCGCCCGGTCTCTTCTGGGACCGGATGAGGGGAATGGCGCTGGCTGGAGCTGTGCCCGCTGCCGCCGCCTCCGCTCCTTGGAGGGCCGCGGCCTTGCTGGGGCCAGCAGCCTCAATGGCGCCTGCCGCTGCCGCTCCAGTCGGGCTGAGATCTGGCCGAGGGGCTGCCTTCCGCCCTGGGGGTGCGCCCGGGTTACAGGTCAGCCTGGCTGGAGGCCCAGCCTCCACCCAGGGACACGCGGGTGTGCTGCTCTCCTCAAGCTGACCGGCTTGGTGGCAACCTCCCAGGGCCTTGGTGGTGTCTGGGCCAGCCCCCTTCTGCCCTGCAGCCGCGGTGAAGTCTACACCTGTGAGGGGCATTAGGGAAAAGGTGGGGTGGTAGGAAAGACCGAGAGAACTTTCAGAAACTATGAACGCTCTGAAAACAAACAAAAAACAGAGGGACCCCAACTTTCCCCCTTTCAGATGTTTCCCACAAACCTAAATGTTGGCTTCCTTGTGATTCTGGCTCTTGTTTGTAGTCCACTGGTGTAGTGGTTAATTCGTTGGGCTGCTAACTGTAAGGTCAACAGTTCAAAGCCCACAGCTGCTTCAAGGGAGAAAGATGAGGCTGTCTGCTCCTGTAAAGACTGACAGTCTAGAATACCAGGGGGCAGCTCTACCATGAGTCCGTGAGATTGGTTGGTTTGCTTCACCGAGAACCCACGTGTAACTAACACTCCTGGCAGAGACAACTCAGATGACGTGGTGGAGGGAATATTTCTGTCTTTCTTTCCCTTTGGTTATTTTGAAGGCCTGGGCACCCTAGGAACCTTTAACTTGATTTTTTACACTAGCCACAATAGCAGAAACCCCGGGCTGCGTGTGAAGTCTTACTCCCTAGCTCCTCATGGTTTCTGTGGAGATGGCTCTTAGCTTTTCAGCCCCAGGCTGTGGGCAATACTCCAACTGACAGTGCCGAGTCCATTCTGACTCATGACGACCCCATACGACAGGGTAGAACTGCTCCTGTGGGTTTCTGAGACTGTAACTTTTTTGTGTGTGCGTGAACTCAACTTTATTTGAAAATTTAAATGAACAAAACACTCGCTGGTGTTTGCCTGGGGTTTGGCCACCCTTTTAAACATGGAGGAAAAAGTGCTTCGGCTCCTCTGGAAATTGCATGAACCCAACTTTATTTGAAAACTTCAAGCATTGCAACACTAGTCGGTGTTGGCCTGGTGTTTGGACACTCTTTTAAATGTGGAGGAGAAAGTGCTTCAGCTCCTCCGGAAGGCCCAGAGTAGCGATCTCTGATGCCAAAGTACTTCCGGATCTGAAGGCGGCACAACTGCATCAGAGGTGGTGGTCCTTCTTGCTCCAAGAGAAACTGGATCAGAGCACTGTTTGGTGCCACCAACTCCACAGGGCGTTTGTTATCAGCATTGCTGGCGTAAGGGTTAGCGCCAAAATCCAAGAGCAGGCTGGCCAGTTCCTTGTTGCCCTGTCTGGCCACTGCATGAAGAGGAGACTCCAGTCCTTTGCCCAGGGTCACGTTGGCTCCTGATTCCAGAAGCTTCTTGGCACAGGCAATCTGCAGATTTTCACAAGCCAAATAGAGTGGGGAACTCAGGTGCGAGATACTACAATCCATGTTGCCTCCATATGCTAGAAGAACCTCTAGACACTCCACGTGGTCTCTTAGCAACTTCATGGATGGGGGATGCCAGACCACATGGCGAGTCGGGGATGGCCCCATGCTGCAGCAGCACATTGACACACGCATTATACAAGGGGGTGTGCCAGTCTGCTGTCAGGCCATTCACCTGCGCACCATGATCCAGCTATGTGGGAGTCTGCACTTCCCTCAGCCCATGACCTGCGCCGTCTGCTATCTTTAAACTTCCTGTTCCTGGATGTTCCTGGCCTATTGTCCTGCCTGAGTTTGGCCTTTGTGATGACTGGTGCTCAGTGGCAGGCAGCCTCCATGCTCATTGGACACCTCCGCCAGGCATCCAAGTGCACCTCATTTGCATG